TTTTTTTTTTTTTTTTTTTTGCGCGCGCGGACGAGTTTCTTTAAACGTCCTAATGTGTTTCTTTCGGCGCACACGCGGCAAGGGGACACGAAATCACCCTCAAAAGTAAATTAATACTTACGTATTCGGGCTTGAGTTTCTTGTCGTTGCCTCGGACAACGAGCTTCTCCAGCTTTTCGAGATGCCCGTTTAAAAATTCGATGTCTTTCAGTCGTAGTTCCTCGCTGATTATCTCGAGATCTCTCACGGGATTCACGTCTCCTTCCACGTGGGTCACATCGTCATCGTCGAATGCTCCTGCGTACACATTGTCGAGAATGTGATACGAAATCTGTACACTCTTGGAATGTTGGGTTTACTTGTCGCATCTTTTCCAACAACTTGGATCGTTGCAATATACAATTATATATTATAATTATACAATATATATAATATATATTTATTATTAAAATATATCATAATACATATATTGTATATTATAATAATATAATTATTCAACATATTCCTATCATGTATTAAAATCAACATTAGTGAGAACAAATTTGTGATCCAATGTAAATTCATTAACACTAAACGTACCAAGCGAGGTCAAATGACCTGTTTTCAAAGTTTACTTTGAAATCGTACATTCGTTGTTATTCCTTTCGCTAATCTGACTTTTTGTAAATTCTTATATTATCTGATTATTCAATTTCTCGTTCTCTTAAGCTTGTTTTTTACCGAGAAAAATTCTTTGCATACCTTATGTACCGCGAGGGATCATTTGACTCCTTATGGTAAAAGATAGGTATATGTAAAATGGAGAAATAATCACGAACTTGAATTTCCATCAATATGAAGTGAAAATAACTCTTCGATAGTGACGGTCGACTATATATTCATTTTAAAGATTTATTTTCCAGAATGGGCGCGATTCTACGAAAATCAGTGAAAAATGTACCTAGAACGTGTACGCTCGTGTTTAATTAAAAAATTAATTTTACAATCTCGCCGATGAATGAGACACCACCGTCCCTTTAACGTAATCGATTTTATCAGTTATCGTTCATCTGGGGCAGTAACATTGTCACTTGTTTCTATGTAAAAAGCGCGCCTGTCTCTCCTCCGCGTGTCGAACCGTGTATTTACGTTTAAACTTACGACAAAGGTGAAAAATTCCGTCGCAGGCGTTGATGTGCGACAGGAAACTGTTTCCCAAGCCTTGCCCCTCCGATGCCCCTTTCACCAACCCGGCGATGTCCACGACGTTCAAGAAAGCTGGCACCTTGCTGAAAATGGCAAGCAAAAGTACATGTCTCGTTGCAACAAAAGTGCGATTGATATTTGTATTTTGTATCATTTGTGTCGAACGTGAATTGAAAAATGTTTTCGTGCAGAGATTGGGGAAGTCTTTAGTAAAATTGTACATAATGATGAAAAAATCATACAAAGTATAGAATAATAATATTATGAATGTAATATTACTGCATGTGAGTATACGCTACAATCATGTAACATTGATAATTGTATACTACATGTAATGTAAATTCGTGATGTACATTTATCACAGATTATGATCACATTTCTCAAATAATGGAAACTTTATTTAGAATCTTCACACGGTGAAACAACCAAACGAATTATTCGAAATATAGGTTCTTCAAAAAATGTAAGAAGCATCGCCTCTTAAACCACAGTGTGTCACTTGCAAACTCGAGAATGTCATCGTGACTGCTCGCGAACACGCGCCGCAGCTTTTGCAAAATCTGCACTCTGCCAGGTTTTGCACGCGAACGTCCCTCAAACGAGAGGAGTAGAGGGGGGGTTGCGTTGCAGCGGCAACGAGCTGTATTTAAATGCTAATGCAAGTAGCGTCATTAAACAATTAGCCTTTGAAGAGAGGCGTTAGTAAAATGAGCAAGAAGGGGGAACGCCGCCACGTTAGATGGCTTTCATTAGGGATCGTTGAATTATCTGACACGTGTGTGACAACTACTCGGCGCCACACGCACACACGGTGTGTGTCGTTGTCGCGAACGACGACACACTGTTCCAGAGTTGGATGACCAGGACGATGCTCTTTGATCCGACACCGTGCCGCGTTTTAATCTCCTCTGAATTAGTAGAATTCAGAGCAAGCACGTGTCGTGTAAAGTAAACTTCACTCGTCTTTCATTCGACGTGTAATTACTCGTTATTTCATTGTTATCTGACTGTGGCTCCAAGTTCATCGATTCTCTGTCCCCTCCTTCGGTACGATATACTTTCCCACTCGATTTTAAGTCGAGCTTCGTTGTGAAACCAGGTGTTAAAGAAAGTATTTCCAAACCACCAAAAGCAGAGCGTACGCTGTGCTTTCCAACCCTCGTGTGATTCAGCTGCTTTGTACATTCCAATCTCATCGTGTCAACGAGCCAGCGTGATAACGCGTGCCACGGTAAACACACGTGGCTTTCATCCACGGTTACGTTGATGCACACCATACCACACACGGCCCTCCCCCGTGTGTGTATCGTTATCGCGTTCGATTAGCAAATGTCGGGTGAAATTTTCATTAAATTCTTCTCGCGTGTTTCTGGCGAAATTCGAAACAACATGTGGAAGGATCTACGCGTAAATTTCGAAATTTCATTAACGACGACGAACGAGTGTTCTGCGATTACATTGTTAAAATTTGAAACCAATCATAAAATGTTTATTGATGTAATGGATTGTGTCTGTACACGTAATACATTTATGAAAAGCTTCCTGTGAGCGTAAAAATACTTTCTTGAGCAACTATATATTTGTATGAAATATGTTGTAGTCTTTCAATTTGTTTCAAGCTTGATGATTACTATTGACGAATTATTAGAATGTTTCGTACATGTAACACACATAATGCATTTATAAAAAGTTTTTCAACTGTAAAAAATTACAATTGTAAAAATATTATATAAAACATCTTGCAGTTTCCACATATATCTAAATTTGTTTCAAACTTACTATGATCAATATGTTTGTGATAGCCGTGTCTCATTATAATACTAACGAAATATTCTTATCAGTGTCCAAATACTTTTGTGACTAAGTAATTGAATTATTTTCACATGTGATTTTAACACTCGAACTTGCCAGCAATCAGAGTAATCTAAAATTCCCTTTTATCGGAGATAAAACAGTGAGAGTAAAAAAATAGTGAAACCTCACTTCCATACAATGGAGCTTTTCATTTATATATTTCATGAAAAATTATTTGAAAATACACTGTCTCACGTCTGTAAAATTTCTAGCGAATATTGCAAATTGGTCATTTTGGTTACTTTGGTAGTTCCAGCGTGGAGAAGTGTTATCTTAAATATTTTATATGATAAACGAGCGAAGAAAGAGGTGCGCGAAGTCGGTTGACTATTCAACATGGGCTATGCGTCGCGTAGACGAATTTCGTTGAATCTGCATTGCAGATCACGTACCGCTTTCTCTCGTCCCTATATCCCTGCCTTGTGGAAATAAAAGCGAAGGAGCATGGAAATGTCAATGGTTATTCCAACTCGTTTCCCACTGCGAGGGTGCATTTTCTGCTAGACTCGTTATTTTCATTCGGCGACACAGCGATGACGCAGCGTATCAGATATTTGTTGCTACGATAGTTAGATAGTGGTAGGTTTGTTACGTACCTGGCTGGCTTGAAATATTCGCACAGGTAATCGAATCTGGTGTCAGGAACTGGTACGCGACGTGCTGGAGGAAAAAAGAAAAAGTCTAGTTAGACAGTGAATATTTTAAATATTTTATCATAAAGATAATATTTACGTATTTCATTCGATTCGTGATATTTGTAATTTTCAGTAACGTTTCAATTAATTATATTTATTTGCAATCAAACTTAAATGTCGCTATTATGTTGAAAAACGTTCAAAGATTGATTAAAATTCCGAATAAGAAATAATAGGATGCTAATGGAAATTCGTCGAATAAATGAAATTCTTCTTCAAAAGTAATTCACCGAAGCAAAGTGTAAAAAACGCAACATCGTTTATTCGTAAATTATTTATTGGCACTAGGGCACGAGATCTTACAATGATACAAATAATACAGATTCGACATGGATTTCATTTGGAATGAAAAATAACAGAATGGGAAATAAATCATAACAGATTAAAGTAACACATTGAGATAAGTGCGAAATAATAGAATGTATTTTTCCTATTTACAAACTGTTTGATCATTCGTAGATTTGTCGTCGGGATCGACTAAAATCTGCGTTGGAGACGTTCGACGAAATACAATCGAGGTAGATCGACGTAGATGAGAACGATGTATAAAAGGTTGATCTTCGTACACGGGTACCCGTACAAAAGGGTTCAGCCTTCTCTTCATCGTTTTGGTCGCTATTTTGATCACTCTCTCACGACTGTAGATCCTGTCGCTGATTGCTTCGTACAATTGGCACTCTTTCAAAGCGCAGGACGCATTGCGAGTCTTCAGGTACACGCCGATGTGAACAGCAGCGGTGGCCGAGGGCGATAAACCCGGTAGTTTCGGCCTGTCCACGCTGATCTGGTTCACAGCCTCGACTATCAACTTCGAGACCGTCTGCTCCAGGAAACCGAGATCCGGCAGAGATTTCAGGTCGATCTCTGGCAGCCTGCGCAGAAACTTAATCTCGGTGCTCTCGTATTTACCGGGTTGCGCCAGAAATTTATCGCGACAGTCTTCCGTGCAAAACAGATACAAATTGTCTCTGTAGAGAACTGCGATGGTCGACTCGCCTCTCGCGAGTTTGCGACTTGGCAAACTGTCCACGTACGTCACCAAGCAAAATCCTCCGACTCGCAAACGTTTGGCCCAACACGGGTGTTCCAAGTCGATCGTTTCGGTCAAAACTCGCGGACGATCTTCCGGAGGATACGAAGTGTTCACTGGCGGAAGGTGTTTCTTCGGATCTTGGATAAATCGCTGCATATGTCGCGAACAGATCCAGTAAAAGTGTTCTCGAAACTGGACCATTCCTTCGTGATCGGCTGGTCTCGAGACTTTCATCGTGTTCTCGTAGTGCAAGCAAAGGGGGCAGTAAGACTCGAATCGGCTCTGCCTCCTTCTGAATTCGTACGGCGAGACGCTCATGTACCTGAGACTGTGGACCTTGTCGTAGTCGCTTTCGCGAAAGTACGACCTGATGATCGCGTACCTCGAGCACACGTGTCTGTCAGCCACGGTCCACACGTGCCACGCGCACTTGGTCGCGTCTAACTCGATCACGTTCTGCGTGAAACTCTTCAACCAAGCTCTGAAATCCTGCTGATCGGCCTGCCAGATGGCGAAACGACGAGAGAGGAAGCTGCTGGAGAAATTTGCTGGCTTCGTCACTCGATCGTCTTCGCGGGACAAACACTCGAGAGAAAAATCCAAATTCGCCTTCAGATCGATGGTGATCATCGGCTGAAGACCCAGGAACGTTAGTCGCTCGAACTCTTTGCGACTCGAGGGGAAACCGTCGAGCACGAAACCCTGAGAGACCGCGTCAGGATCGATGGAATACATTTCAACGGCGCGGAGCAGAAACTCCATTGGAACCGTTCGTCCTTCGCGCAGACAAAACTCGCTCGATCGAGCGGATTCCGTCCAGGGAAAATGTTCGATGACGTAACGCAGCGCCTCGCCTCGCGTTATCACTTTCACGCCGTACTTCCTTGCGAATCGTCGAGCGAGAGTCGTCTTGCCAGATTTCGGCGGGCCGACAATGGACAGTCGAAACGGAACGACCGGCGCGCGAGAATCTTGCTCGAGGTATTTGAACGGGCTGTTCAGGAACTCGATTTGCGCGTCTTTGCCGGCGATGAAGTAAACGAACTGCCTGTGCACGACTGGATGCATCTCCTCAGCGGACTTCGACGGTAGAAACATCTGCAGCGGAACCTTGTTCTCGCGCAGTTGCACGGGACACCAACGCCCGAAGGAACTCGGAAGATAGTAACCGCGATCGAGGAGAGCGTCAGCCGTTTCCAGATCGACGGTGTGAATCCTCTCGAGGACAGACACGTCCCGACGAACGTACGGTTCGAGGGTTCTCATCACTCTCAACAAAACACTTCTCGCGTCACCGTCTGCGTCGAGCGCGACGTATGCTATCGATTCGTTCTCCAAGATGCCGCGAGTAGCAGCTAGTTTCTGAGACTCGGTCTCGTACGTGTCGAAAAACTCCCGTTCGATCCTTCGCTCGGCTGTTTCGTAATCTTCCCAGTCGGTAAACAGGACAGGCTCGGGATGCTCCTGGTACCAGGTTTCCTCCAATTCAAACTTTCTCGCTTGCATCTCCTCCGACTCGACGTAGTCTTCCTCTTCGTTTTCGTATTCACCGCGAAGATCATCGTCATCCTCTCCAACAGCTCCTGCCCGAGCAGTTGATTGGCTCAACATTTCCTCCACCCAGACATCTCGGTCTCTCTGATAATTCTCAAGCTCCGTCGCGTGTCTGAGTCGTTCCGTGTGTTTCCTCTCTTCGAGGTTTGCTTGCCAGATCTCGAGCAACCGAGGGATCACTCTCTCGGACGCTGTTTCTCTACCGCAACGAAGTTCTACGATCACCTCGGGGACCGTGTAACTCTTCAAGGCTGTTTCTACGTCTTGCGGACAGCTCGGAAACTGATCGAACACGGTGCCGGACTGATTGTACGGTCCTTGGAAAAACTTCAACAGGCATTCGCCGCGTATCCTCTCGGGAAGAGTACCTCCGTTTTTCCAGTAATTTCGAATGAACGTGAAAATTGTGTCGGGGTCGCTGTTGTATCTCTCGTCTTTCAGATCTTCTGGCAATCCGACCTCGTCTGGAAGTTCGTTCGACAAGACGAGAACGTCGCTGTGAGAAAGTGGCGGCATCCCGCGAGACTGCATGTACCTGGTGAGACAGTGGAAATAGTCGACATGGACCAGGCCATACTCTCGGGATATCGCGTCTGACAGCGTGCTTTTCCCACTCCCTGGGGGACCAACGATGCTCACGCGAACGGGCGGAATTACGGACAAAGGCCTCCTCAACGGGAGACCTAACTTTTGCGGATCGCGAATGAATTCTTCGAGAGCAGCGGGACTAGACAAATGGTATATCTTGTCCATGAAAATTGCACCGTACTCCTCTTTGCCTTTCCAAAATACGTTGTACTTCAACAACGCCACTGGACAGTAGTAACTGGTGTCACCGAATCGACGATTATCTTCCTTGGCAGTCAGTTCTACCTTCGTTGTTTCCCTCTCAGTTGCTTCTCTCTCTTTCTCCTCCTCCTCTTCCTCTTCGATATTTTCTGTGTCAGTCATGCCGATATACTCCGCGAGGTCTCTCTCCCTCTCCTTCTCCTCTTCGCTCATCACTCTTGCCTTCTCCTTGTAACGATCCTTAATTCTATCTACAACGTACTTGGAGACGTCAGTTATCTTACCAACGTTGCAAGTGACGAGATTCCTGCAATCATTCGTCACTCGTTCTCTCACCGTTTCCCAGTCCAATTGAAATTTCTGTACGTGCCTGATATATTCGACCAACGTTTCCACTCCCCCCTCGTCTCCCTCAGCATCGGGATCTTCCAAGTTCGTTCCCTCGAACTCTTCACCGTCCTCGCTACCGCGAATCTTGCGCCATTTCGACAGCAGATAGTCGTAAGGATCGTCGTCGAACAAAAGAACCGCGTCCTCGAAGGTAATCTCTGAATCCTCGACGATCGTCTTCCAAGTATCGATACTCGGATACAAGCCATCCACTATGTAACCACCGTCTCTCCAAATCTCGATGTCTATCTCTTCCCTCGGAACGTTTCTTACAGCTTCCACGATCTTGCTCGACTTCTCGTCCATCTCTTTCACGTTTATCACCGTACCTTTCAAAACTCGCGCCAATTCGCGACAGAGCTGCGATTTGCCAGAGTGATCAGGCCCGAACACCACGATCTTGCACGTCGGCCTGGGCGAGAACGGACGGACGAAAGTTCTCGGATTCTCGACGAACAGATCGACCGCCTCGTTCGACGAGAGGAAGAAGATCTTGTTCATGAATCGAACCGCGTGTCTCGCGAGACCCTCCACGGTCCTTCCTCTCGCCAATTCCACCGGGCAGAGGAAACCCCAAGACGAGAGCCCCCACGGGAACAGAGGAGAGACAGTCTCTCTGTTCGTCAGCTGTTGAAACGCTTCTTCGTTCGATTTGTCGTCGAATTCGTCCGTGACCACTGGCGACTCGCCTTCGAACTCCAACGCGGTGTTGTGATCCGTGAATCTTCTCGGAAGGATTACGCGTGAGAGTGGCAACGTGCTTGTCCTTGAAACGAAAACCTGAAACATCAACGACACCGATGTACGACCATCCACGCGAACAACGTTCTGAGGATTGTGCAGTAGAATCCATTTTTCGATCGTTGGCATCGCCAGACGTTTGTACAGCGCGCACTGCCACCTCGCGTTCGATCTTTCGTCGGACGGACGTTTCAACAGATATTCCCCCTGGTTCTTGTCTAAAAGTCGTTCCTCGGTCGTTAATCCCCGATAGAGCCCGAAAGATACGTCCGTATCGTTCTCCATTCGGTTGCGAGAGAACAACGTTTCGATGTGTCTGCTCGTGTCGGAGAAACTCGTGTCAACGATGCGACCGGTTACCGGGTCCAGACGGAGGTGTTCGCGCTTCGTCAGCGCGTCCTCGTCGGGACACATCACGTAGACGATTACCGACGGTTTTATGGGCCACGTGGTGAAGATATCCTCGATCTGACTCGAAACGAAGTCCTCGTAATTGGAACTCGCAATGCACGATTTGTTTTCTGCTCCTTCGTCGACAGTTGAAATATATTTATTCTTGTTTGATACGTCGCAGTCTTCTGTTCGTACGTTGCAAGTTCCAGGAATTGAAAGATTCTCGTCGTTCTCCGTGACTGCGCTCGGATAAGAAGAGTAATCGAGCGTCGCGTTTGCAACCAGCGGTAACCCCTCCACCACGTATCCTCTGTGAAACACGTCTCTTCTGTTGAGACGAGCTGCTATCACACTCGCGATCACATCCGGGCCCAAAGATCCCCCTTTCTTCAAAACATCCGCCATGAGTTTACCTCTGCCGTTGTTTCGTTGGATCTCCTGGTTTATCAGTGGCAACGGTGAAATCAGAATCGAGTTCCACGAGTCTGCTATCGTGGTCGCGAGCTTCGTCGTGTTCAAGCCCGGTTTCCCGAGAATCGCGAAACAGGTCGGCTCGCTCGCCAGATACTTGTCCCTCGCGCTCGTCTCCCGATACGGGTCGCGAGTTTCGTGAGGCTTCTCGGAAGGTTCGAAGTGTGCTCGAACGTTCCCATACTCTCTCGACTGACACTTGCCAGGGAATCTAGCGAATGGATTTGAATCCTCGTGGAAGGCGTAGTAAGAGTTTGCCTTCGGGTAGACGCAGGGACTCGGTTCCGGCCAAGATGGCGAATACTGCTCGCGAGGATATCCTTTGACGAATCGGAGGAAACTCTTCTTTGTAATGAACGACGCGTCCGTGTAAAACCTCTCGTGCTCGTCTCTCTTCTTCTCGGCACGTGACGTTCTGTCGCACATCGTCGAACGTGTTTCATTTCGAGGTTACTGTTGCAAATCTTTCGCGCAAAAGTTCGCCGACAAATGATAGTTGAATCGCGACTGAGATGATTAGGTTGGCGCAGATTAAATGTTTTTCTACACGATGAAAATTTCATTGTAACTTTGCTTACTCCAACGATTGTTCTGTGCATTAGACAGCATAGAAAATATACACAACCTTCGTTTAAATGTAAGGTTCACGTTTCTAGAAATTTCAAGTGAAATTTTTCCAAATTGGAGAATCATACGAAACGAACTTCTTTTTCATAATTTGCAGGACAAAAAAATTTATCGTGGTATTTAAAGAAGCGATGTTTCGCCTGCGTTTTTGTTTACGATTATATTATCGCGCAACATGTATATAACACGTACAGAGAAGAAATGTATAAAAACGTGTAACGAATGCAAAAATGTTTCTTTGCTCGCTGCAAAATAGCAGAAAAATCCGCAATAAAGAAATGTATTTGATACTTATTTTCATTTGGATCGATGGTGCAGAATGGGAAGTTCTCCGCAGCCGCCTGGCTTTTCGTGAGAACGTTGAAGAACGTTGATTTTCCAACGTTGGGTATGCCTACGATACCAACTTTCAGATTAGTACCCACGCGGCCGATAAGTGGTTTCCTTTCAGGCTCCTCGATCTTCTTCGGCGCCATTCTACGACAGAAACGTCACGTTCTAGATCTATGAAATTCTTATCATAAATATCGATTTCAAGAATTCGACACTGAATCCATTGGTTGATGCCATCGTTTCAAATGTTCGTTTATAATAAATTTACAACAGTCTACGATCAACTGAAGATCTTTCTCGGGAAGAATGATCTCGTACGTTCATTGATGCTACGATCGAACATTCGTTTCGACACCGTTCGGTTCACTATGACTAAAGTGAAGTATTTAGTGATGCCTCTTCGTCTACGTAATTATCACCGGCATTCAGAAACGATCGTATAGCCGCGCGAGGGACGAGAAGAGGTGGATCTATCGGGATCGAAATGAAAATGATCGAACGTGGATCGAGCACGCCCTCGTTCCCCCCAATCCGCGGAATCCTCGACAGTCCACCGTGTTTCACCTACCTAATGCACGCAGTGTGCCCCCCGGCCTCGCCACATACTTCGAACAAAATCAAGGCAACGAGAGAGAGAGAGAGAGGAGAGAGTCGAGCACAGGACGAAAGGAGAGGGTGAAATCGAGAGAAGAGGAAGAAAAGGTCGGCCTTCTCAAACATCGGGTCGCTCTCGAGCGCTCGGGGTGACTAATTATATTAATGCGGACGGCACATCAAGCGATTGCTGTGTTTACCGCAAGATTGCCTCCCTTCTTTTCTTTCTCTTCATCCTTCGTTCGCTGTAGCACGACCGGCCCGCGCCATATCAAAAGGATGAAACAGGTACTACGCGAGAGACGCCTACGGGAGGCGATGGGAGTATGAGAGAGAGAGAAAGTAACGCTGAGAGAGCAGGAGGAGGAAAAGGAGGCGAACGAAAAGCGAATTCAACGAGAAGAGGAGAGAGAGGTTGTTGGATTCTTCCCGAGCGAAGTTGCGGGAGGAGGAGGAGGAGGAGGAATAACGTCTCTCGGGTAAGGGGACCGACGATTACTGGGCACCAAAGCCGCGAATCACCGGCATCACGCCGGGAATCTGCAACCGCGCCTTAGGCCGCCAATCCGCCACCGACTTTTGCGATTCTTCCTTTTCTCTCTCTCTCTCTTTCACTTCACCCCTTTCTCTCTTGTTCCTTCTCTCGTAACGTCAACCATCGCGACCGGCCTTCCTTTTCCTCTTTCTTCCCACCGGTTCTCTCCATCTCCAGAACTATTCAACGCGTTTAACTCGAAACCGCGCCACCATCTCTCGTCTCTCGGGAAATTTGCAAATTACGATAATGGAAGAGAAGAAGAAAGGATCCGCCCGCGCGATGCTACTCAACACAGCCGCCTCGGCGCCGTGGTATCACCGTCGCCTCTTAGTTTTGTACTACCACATTGTTCCTAGCGGGTAGCGATGAAATGTTGTGTTAGATTTCATCTGTCGTTTGTTACCAAAATATGCGCCCCAATCTGTTAATTAATAATAAAGACGATATCGAAAAACAACTGATGGTACACGTGTATCATCTTTTAGCTCAGGGAATTCCCGATTATTGCAGGCGGATGATTTTTACGAAGTATTGCTTGACGAAGCATGTTCCTGTTGTCACAGTCTCAATCTGATCGTTAGGTCTTTAATTGCAGACATTCTCAGTTTCCAGGAACGATTTCACGTTTTTCATTTTATCCCATTTGTCTCTGCTGCCTTCGTTTCGATAAAAATATAGCGACACTGCGCCAAAAAGAGATTTAAAGTCAATCGTGTAAAACGCCCATCTTCGAATTTTCAATTCAAAAGAGGCGCCAATCTTTAGTACTGCGGCGAGCGCACTGGGGGAGCTGTAAACTTAGGTATATTTACACAGTGCTGCCTCGCAACACTAGGTTTTGGAACCAGCCACGAGATGCCAGCCAGCCATAGATCTTAACCTTACTTTTTGAGAAAGGAGAACGAGTTATTTATAGATTGTTAACTTTAACAATTTTCGACTGCGCGTTTTTCGACGTTCCTGCGGCACGACCTAGTCGTTCGTCCGTGCGTGAGAGCCACGTGTATGTTTCTATCAGTGGAACCGAACGTTGCATCATTCTTGTACACGCATATCGTTGCCTGCCTCTGGGGGAATTCGACGAACGGTTTGTTATAATAGCGTTGTTCTCGTTCGTTAGTGGAATGACTGGATGATTAATGATCGATCAAATACCTTGACTATTCTTCGTGCTTCTCTCCTAGGTAAATATCACTGCACAACGCGTGGCAAGGAAAGGAACACACCAGCACCGCACTGACGTCACGCGTTCGACCGGCCTTTGGTAGTGAA